CCCCCCCCCCCCCCCAAATAGAAAAGTGCTTCCTACGGCCCTGTGTACTCAGGTGAATATATTGTTTTTGATGTTACTCTGGGTAACTTTAACCAGCCCAGGTTATGAGTATGCAATCTGAAAAATATTGTTAGTACTTTATACAATGTTTCGCAATAGTGTAAAAAAGCGCAGCACTGAATGAGTCGAACGGTCAAACAGCCCTATTTGCGAGGCATAATCCTTCAAGTCTTATGTGAGTCTCGAAAATTGTTGTACTGTGCCCCGATTACAGCGACTTGAACATTCCTTAGTTTATCCTCATCTGTTTCAAAAACATCGTCCTCTTCGTCTTGTCCCTTACAAGTCAAAATACACAGCCTGTACACAAGCAGAGCCAGCGAAATCGCATTCTTAACCGTATAAAATATGTGCATCTCGCTATCCACCGAATATTGCACCGTACAGTACAACCTGAACACCAGAAATGGTCCATCCATCATCAATATTCCTGTCAGAATTCCATAAATATCGCCATGTAAGTCGAATTCTCGTTTCTCCGACTCGGAGAATACCTCCTTCACCGCTTTCAATCCTGTTCGTTCCTTGGCGTTCCAGGAGTTCCTCGTTTTCTCGTGTCTGGCTCGGGGCGTGGCTTCGACATCTTTTCGCCGTTTTTCTTTAAGTTGTTTTATATAATTGTCTTTAAGTTTCGTATCGCCACTACTTGTGCTCAGGTGAATTTCATCCATAGGACTGACCTGAAATGCATAGAACGGTCAAATTTACGTCTGAAAAGTTAGTAGCAATGATAGCAGGACGTTGGTAACAATAATGTCAGTTAGTTTCCAGTCATACTCGTTTAAGCCCTTTTTTGCGCAGTTTTGGTTAAGTGTGTTGGGGTTTCGAGAAGTGTCAAAATATAAGCAGCATCACATTTTTAAAATTTTTTTCTGTGTTGGTGTAGTGTACTCAGGTGAATATGATATTTGTGCTGTTACTCTGAGTGTATATCCACACCGGGCGAGCTTGAAAAATATGCCCGGCCACGGTGGGATTCGAACCTACGACCTTTGGAATACTAGCCCAATGCTCTTCCAACTGAGCTACGCGGTCAGGACGGTTCGAGTAAGTGATATTTCGGAACAGAATCTAGTACACCAACACAGAAAAAAATCATATTACTAGAATACATTGGTATCGAAGGAACTAGATTCTGTTCCGAAATATCACTTACTCGAACCGTCCTGACCGCGTAGCTCAGTTGGAAGAGCATTGGGCTAGTATTCCAAAGGTCGTAGGTTCGAATCCCACCGTGGCCGGGCATATTTTTCAAGCTCGCCTGGTGTGGATATACACTCAGAGTAACACCACAAATATAACATTTTTAAAAGTTCTTATAATACATCTGTTGTTAATTTTTTTATATGTGACACTGTGCACAAAAAGTGGTTTCACTGGTTTTACCGAGCATTATCATGAAACAGATATCTGAACGAAAATATAAGCTTTGCAAGTTAACTTTATCTATCATTCTCAGTTGCATCTGCGGGTATTTTAAATCCTCTTTATCTCTAGCGAGTAAATCTAATTTTGTTTAAGTGTTGTATGGCCTCTTACACCACGAATGGGATGAAAAACTTCCATTCAGCCACGGATTCGCTGGTCAGAATCATCCATTGTTTTGTTATTGTTTGTCAGTCCCACTGTTTTCGGACTCTTATATGACTCCCACTCTTCATGGACTTGTATGCCAAAGGTCACGGGTTCGATTCCCACCGTGGTCAGGCAAACTTTTCAGCTTGCCCGGTGTGCATGCACACTCAGAGTAACATCACAAACATTATATTTCTTCATGTCATCCAATTAATTACTCATTTCCCCGACCTATCTTAAATATTCTGCGCAGAGACTATGAGCAACAATTTACCTTATTTGTGCGTTGTTTTGGTTCCTCTTTGTCACTGCTTGTGGTTGCCGTGGTGACCAAACAAAACGACAACAGACACCAGGAGAAAACAAACAGCGTTGCTATGGTGATAGACTGTCGATACATCAGGTTCTCCTCCTCAAAAAGTTCGAAGACTTCTAGTATATCTGCGGCGATGCCCACGTAGCCAATCAGCAACGCGGAAAGCTGGTCACGTGTGATGGCACCGCGAGGCAAGAGCCAGCGGCCGATGATGATACCAATAGTCAGCCCCAGTGCCCCGACTTTTTCGGCTATTGTCGCTTTCGATAGATTAGCCCACATATCCTGAGAAATACAGCGTAAATTATTTAAGAACGAGTTTTAGGCTAATTGCCGGATTTTTAAGATTACATTTTACCTTACAAAAAGTAGTTTTGAAATTTGGTGTGTTTTTCTGATGTGTACATTCAGGTAGCAGGACAATATATTACAACAATAGGATGTGGGGCTAAATCTACTATGGGGTTCGGGGAAATGCTCCCTCGACCGTCAGAAAGCCCGGAAATGGAACTAAAATTTCGCATTCGTAGCTTCACTAGCTTGTTTTCACTTTGCTTGTCAATGCTGTTATAATTTACCTGACAATCGGCTAAAATTACCTGGGAATTTACCTGAAATTAAGCAAGAACAAATATTGGAGGTGTTCCACCCCGTACAACCCCTCCCGCCTCTAGGGGAACAGTTTAGAACTATCGATAGAGATAGAGAACTATCCGGTATACATAACGTTCGTTTAGTTCATTGTAGGTTTCCTCCTGTAGCAACACTCTTATTCAATTTCAAGGAGAACCTTTTAAAACTCGTGTATAATTAGTTAATTCATGTTAGGTTTCCTCGTTTAGTAACACTGGACCAATAAGAGACGAGCTTTAAAATTAAGGAATCTCTAGGAGAACAACTTCGAACTGACAGAGCTGTCCAATGCAAATAATGAGGTAAAACTTTAGTTCAGAATGAATCCCACTCGAGCAAATGAATTTTTTGCTCACTGCTGTATCAATTACTAGTTTATTTTGTAACCGGCTAGATGACATATGTCACTTTAGTAAAGTTTCTAACTAACTAACTAACTAACTAACTAACTAACTAACTAACTAACTAACTAACTAACTGACTAACAATTTCTCTTCGACTATATAAGAGTATGATCATTTCACACAGCATACCTTGTCCTCATTAGTGTTTACTAAACTGCTGTTGGAAACTTGCATCATTTGCAACTCTCGTTCGTTGTATCTTTCGTGATACAAATCCATTTCCATTGTCCATACTGAAGGCAGCACACTCATTATGTACAAAAAGCAACTTGGCCAAAAACTATAGAGAAATACAATATTAAATATTGTGAGAATCTAGTGGTAACCATTCATCAGAAACACAGTCACTGCATGCAGTAATTGCCTCGTTCGTCTACGTTCTGACCTCTTGCACAGTTGCACTACACTGCACTATAGTATAGAAACTTGTTATATAAGAAACTAACCATATTTATACTGGATAGCTCTATCAGTTCATGAAAAACCCATGTCTTTGTTGGTCTACTATTATATTGCTGAAAGGAACTCAAAACTCGCGAGTACCTTAGCTATACTTTTATTTAAGTCCCGCTTTAACTATAGGACAAGAGTTGATAATCGACTCTCGTCAACTTTTAGCTCTATCAGTAGGTTCAATGTTGCTTTAATGCAGGAGGAAACTAAACTAACTTAATTCACATAGTTAACACTATTAGCTCTGTCTAGTATATAGACTGGTCTTCCCAGTAGTCCAGTAAGGGAAATTCATTATTGGTCCAGGGTTATATCCTGCGGTGTTTGATGGATTCAAACTGGGAACACTCTTCTCACATACAACTCGGGCGAAAGTGTGATTTGACAATTGCAGTAAATATTGCTGAAATCGAAATTTGGTCAAAGACATGAAAGTACATGCACTAAAGCATCGGTCAAATGAGGATGAGAGTTGTAACTCTCGCTCGCGTTTGACCGAAACTCTCATCGATCTCATTAACTATCATCAACTTTTAACTGGTTCAAATTTTCATGAATGTTGATGAGAGTTTTGGTTACATAGAGTTTTTGGTAATATCCAGTCGACTCTCATCAACTCTCATGCAACTCTTGTTGTCGTTTGACAGGGGCATGGGAGTTGAGAAAACTCGACTCTAGCTCATCAATTCTCATGCTCGTTTGAGCAGCGCTTAATAAGTACTGTTTCTGTGACCCAGACACCCTCTCAATAATCCAGAACAACTTGGAATTAATTGTTTCGGATATGGTAAAACGGAACATTGGTACTCACTACTTGTATTCTTCGCCTCGTCTGACAAGTATAGTGTACGCGCTTTCTATCATGAGTAAAAACAGAAAGAACACAGGCCACCATTGGCTAGCATCATCCTTGTTCTTGACTACCAAGAATATTGCGAAAAATCCATGAATTAGAAATAAAATTCGTGTCAAAATGGCCGAAACAAGACTAGGGATTCCATTAATCGTCTTCAGATAGCTGGACCATTCCATTTCTTACAAAAAAGCGTTCTGGCATTGAATTTAGGGAATATAAAGTTTCGTCGCTCCGTAACGCTGCACGTATTGTTTTGCAGTTGGCATGTTGCCTTGTAAATAAGGCGAACATCAAATGCATCGGAAATAAATAATAATGATAATTATGTTCTGAAACAATCGAATCTAATGTAGTTAGCAATGATAATTATACTAATTAGGTTTTAGTTATGTATGCATGAGCGATAATTCGTTCCTAATTGCCATTAATGTTACGATAAACATGGACGTTGCGAAGTCATTAAAGGGTATATGACTCGAAAATTCACGTTTTTATTTTTTAGTCTAATTTGAAAGAGCATTGAAAAGTGTAGAGTAACTTCTTTGACAGATTTTTGTTTTTTTTGCTTCGTTTTGGAGATATTTCATTTTGTATGATATGCAAAAGACCAACTTTCTACGTCACATATGCATAATGAATGACTTTAAAATGTTATATAATTTTGTCACTATCAAATAAATTCGCTCAAACTGATGGGCACGAGATTTGTCCACAACAACACCCATGTAGGTTTTCTACTGATTATGTTTAGTCGTATTAAAGATATAGCTTTTAGGGCTAAATCATTATACTGACACATGTGACGTAGGATTCAAGTTGGTCCTTTGCATATCATACAAAATAAAATATCTTCAAAATGAAGCAAGAAAACAAAAATCTATTACAGAAGTTACTCTGCAGTTTTCAATGATCTTTCAAATTAGACTAAAAAATTACAACGTCAATTTTCGAGGAGGGAATGGCCTGATATTTTGACCACGTTTTGGCGAACATTTTGACTAACTTTTCGAAGGTCTGACTTTTCAAAGGTTTGCCCATCAAATTCGTGATGGAAAAACTGAATGCTTGTGAGGTGGCTTTTCCTTTACGCTGAATGGAAATGTCGTATGACGTTTTTCAGATGCTTCAGACGTGAGCAATGGAAGATTATAGGTTTTCTGAATTTGACAGATTGTCTTTAATTTTAACATCGACGAACTATCTGAGTCGTTTTTCTCCTTAAGAAAATGTGAAGCATGGATTATAAGTCCCAGATTGAGCATGCAGGCCTGGTTCTTTTCGGTCTTAGCCTGCGAGCAGGCACTCCTGGGTTGTTTAAAACGATTGATGCGTCATACTTATAGGCTTGTTTCAAACGTCGCATTTGCATATGTCGAATTTAATTCGGTTGGACGTCGTTTGAAAGACTTCATGTATTGTTATTGAACATGTTGCCACTACGGAAAAAGATACGTCTTTGGATATTTTTAATTTTTTCGACAAATATGGGCTTATAAAATATTTTTACGACATTCTCAAATTTTACAGAACAGTATAATACCATTAGGTAATTTAATTTTGTAGGTGTTCTTTAATTTGAACAATTTTGGGTATATATTTAGTATATTCTTAAAATTTGTCTCAAGCTTTACGTCATACACTATCCAGGCAACGCCGAACAAATTAATATTCATGCTTCACGTGGAATATTTGGGATTAATCTGGGAACAATCCATACTTCAACACTGGTAGAAATTGGCCCAGTTTAACCTTTTTCGACGAAGAATTCTTTATACTTTTTCTTATATTGGCAAAGACCTCTCACGGAAGTCATGTGGAATTTATATTTTATTGCACTGTCAAAACTGACGAGAAAACCAATATCGTTCTTGAAAGAGACTAATTACGATGCTTGAAGTATACAAAGAGTCCTGTATTCCACTTAGACACACTTAGGATTACTGAATTGCCTTTTGTTGGGAAAGTATTTTAAACTAAACGTGTTTCTTAACTTCTGAAAATATCAGTGCGTGTTTCTCATGGAACAATAGAGAGGTTAAGATACCCCGGTACGTTTCGGTGTACGGGTACGAGTTGTGTCATCTTGTTTTACTGATGTCTGTAATGCGATCATACTTTTTCTGTTTTCTTGCAATAGACAATGATATAATGCGAAAAATGTGCACGTTAATTACGAGTAAAGGTACAGACATCGACGAAAATATTGCTAACCAAAATCATGCTGCCCGTACACGTACACCGAAACCGGGGTATCTTAACCTCTCTAATAATGCACAATCAGGGCAATTTCAATCGAATTGATAGAGGATCAGAGCAGTCCAGTCTAAATAAATCGGTGCTCACTCGTACAACTTAACACTTTTCCGTATCCGTTAATTAAATTTATGTGTGGTCCAGTTCAAAAAATAATTTTAGAAAAACAGAATATATCGTGGTGTAACAACCGGAAAACGTAATCCTTTATAATATCACAGTACAAGTCTGAATAAAATGTCATGCATAAAAAATCCCCATTCACAATAACGATTGGAAGTTTAAACTTTTAATTCAGCAGTTTTAGAGTTAATAATGAGGTACATTATTAATAAGCATTAATTAGCTACTTCTTATAATTAATGATTTTATAACCGAATTATATATAATATAACTTGAATTTTCTAAAATATATTGATTGAATGCTATAGAGTAATTTTTATTTTAAGCTTTAGTTTCCACGCTAATATTTGTAGGTTAAAATTTTGTTTTTAGATTCCTTAAGAATTACGTTGTTAAAATGAATATTTCTTGATTTTTTGTTATTTTTTTAACACTTCAATGCATGTGAGGCTAAGCTAATCGGATTTCGTGTTTATATTCCGATATTTGACCATGTTTTTGAAAGAGTTAAGCTCGTCCTGTCTGTTTCATTCAAACACATCCGCTCAACATTGACAGCCGTTAAATTTCCCTTTGTAATGTTTAAAAACACTAGAATTAACAGTACTCCTTATTAAGTTGAGTTTCAGGCCAATCCAGGAACAGTTGGAGACATTTTAACAGATTATGTATGCTGTGGTCTGTTTGGTTCTTTGGCTTGGAATATTTTCTGGTATCGAGTCGTCTTTAGTGTCAAATGGAACAGTATTTACGGGCGAAATAATAAAGATAGGCGAAGATAGAACGGTATTAGTACAAGTTATAAAGACGTTGCTCATCCAGGAGAATGTGAAGGTTCCTTCAACCGTGACTCTACAAAATTTTGAGCAAGACGAGTCGTCGAAAGGGGCAAAAGGAGTTTACATATTTTATGTGTTGCCATTGGACAAAGATGTATTCGAAGTTCTTCACTATTGGAGTGTGAAGCAAGAGGATTTTAGTGATGTCGAGTCGAGTAGTTTGGAAGGTAGGGTTGGTTTTTATTGGTAGGGAAGGGTTATGACAGTGCTGCGCTATCTATAGGGGTTCTTGTGGGTTTGACAAGCTACCCCTCCTCAAATTTAATTGATGGCTAGCCAATATTTGGAATATAAAATATCTTGGGCTGTGAGTTATCATAATCATCACTTGTGTTCCAATTCACGCCAAAATCGATCATTTGGCATTGAGCAGATTAAATTACCCGGGCCTCTTTTAAACTAAAGTGTCTTAAGGGTTTTAAGAGGTATAAGTTTTAGATGCTCATAAACCCTTTCTTATCTCAGCATTTCCGTCGACACTTTAATATAACCTTCATCTTCTGAGACAGATTAATAAAACACTGAGGTCGGCATTAGTCGATGTCCTAAAAAATAGAGTATAGTTTCGCTTGATTCCGAAAGTTGACACTAAGTTACTGTATAGCATGTTACATTTATTTGATGTAAATAAAATTCTTAGGAATACTAATGACAGTAATATATGTATACTATTTTATACAGTTTTTCATCATTCAATTTATTGTAAATCGTTTCTGTTTGTAAATAATTCGTCTTCTTTTCATAAGGGGCGCGTTACAATAAAAGTCCAACAGGATTTCCAAAAGTCCCAAGTCCACTATTATT